TACATATAACAGAATCAAGCCAGAATTGAATAACATTGTCTTGTTTACATTGCGTTTGTTTTAACAGTTGTCTCCTTTATGTTGTAAGTGACTCTGATTTTTCATATAATGATGCAATGCTTTTTTATGAAATAAATTTGCTTGAAAAGGGAAATCAGTTTAAATACGAAATACTTCGGGCAGTTCAAGTGGCATGAATATATGGCAAAAATCAAGAAGTGGGAGCAAATGATTGAAACGTGGGAAATACTAAATGAATGTGACCTCCAAGTTCACATTTAGGGAAAATGAAGCCCTGAGAGTTTAGATAAACTGCCCGCCATCACCCAAGTAACTGTTTATCTTCCTCATTCACCCAGTTGCTTGGTTATTTATTTGTTTTAATATGAAGAGGTCTGACACTGTGCTACACCAAGTGTTAGATCTCATGCCTGCTGCTTTCCTGCCCCATTCGCCCCACCACACACACACACACACACACACACACACACACACACACACACACACACACACACACACTAGGGAGACTCTCTACCACCCCTTGCACAGGAGGTAAAGGATCTAAGAGGAAGTAGTTGCTATTTCCATCCATAATTATAATACACATCTTAGAATGCCTGTAGCTCCAAGTAGCAAAAACCAATGAAATGTATCTTAAACAATATGGGATTATTCTCTCGTCGTTTAATAAATAAGAAGGCTTAATCAATGATTCTAACGAAGAGAGAGGTAAATATTAACCCAATTTTAAAAAATAATCTTTAAACACATTCTGAGTAAGACCATAAGTGAGAGAGTCTCTGACATCCTAGGGGGTTAGACCAATGAAATAGAAGCAACAGATATTTCTCCCTCGTGTGCCACTGACATTGTCACTTAGATGCAGGAGAAGAGTGTAGTGCCTAGTGCTGACAGGAAGCAGAATGAGACAAGAAGATGGATCAAGGGGCAGATACTCAGAGAAACTGCCGGCTGCCATCAGAGCATGGGATCTGGACAGCAGGCAACTGGGCAGGAGAAAACATCAAACACAGTAGTGGGGCTGCGGACAGCTTGCAGGGAGGCGCCTGAGGCAGATAATCGGGCGGTAACAGAAGGTGGAATCAACAATCAGAACAGCAAGACCCCAGGTTCCTGGATTGAAGCAAAAGCAAAATGAACCTTAAACCCTAGACCAGACCTGGTTCCTGCCTGTCAAACCTTATTTTAAAAACTATTTTTTTTTTTTTTTGAGTTGGAGTCTCACTCTATCACCCAGACTGGAGTGCAGTGGAAGCTCCCAGCCACCGCAGTCTCAAACCGCTGGGTTCCGGCGATCCTTCTGCCTCAACCTTCCAAGTAGCTGGAACCACAGGCACACGCTACCACACCCGGCTAATTTTTTGATTTATTGTAGAGGTGAGGGCTCACCAAGTTGCCCGGCAGTTCTTGATTTAAAAACTTTTAATTGAAATATGTGCTATATAAATTAAAGGACACAAATCATAAGTATGTAGTTTATGAATGTTCCCAAATTGAACACACTTATGTAGCCAGCACCCAGGTTCATGAAACAGGATACTGGCAGCATCCTAGACACCTCCTCATAATAGCCTTTTAGTCATTAACCCTCCAAAGGGAAGCCACTACCCTATTTTTACACCTTCTGTAGACTCAGTCACACAGTGGACCCACTCTGGTTTTTCTCCCTGTATAGAGATTATTATTATTATCATTTATCATAAAGATGTGGGGCACAATTTCAGGGTTAGGTATACAAACGTTGATTATGCAGGTACACTTGTTGATAAGGTATGCCTCCCTCCCCTAGCAGTTTCCCTCAACTTCCAATCCCACCCCCTCGCCTGATGGTTTCCCACTACTGTCAATCCCTTTCTTATAGTATTATAATTGTTCAAGGTCCACTTATGAGTGAAAACATAAGGTACTCTATTCTTTGTTTCTGTGATAGATCACTGAGTATGGTTGACTCCAAATCCATTCAAGCTGCTGCAAAGTCCATATATTTGTCCTTCTTTATGGCTGCATAGTATTCCATTGTGTATATGTACCACATGTTTTAATCCAGTCCAGTTTCAATGGGCAACATGGTTGGTTCCATGTTTTTGCTATTATGAACAGAGCTTCAACAAACATACGTGTGCAGGTATCTTTTTGTGAAATGATTTTAGTTCCCATTGGTTATATTCCCAATAGGGAAATTGTTGCGTCATATGGAAGGTCTAGAGTTTTATATTTGTAAGACCCCCGCCATACTGTTCTGCACAGTTGCAATCCATTCATGCTCATGGCTCAATAGTTTTCCATAATGCCATGAAACCATAATGCATTTATCCCTTCTTTTATGGGTAGGCATTTGGGTAGTTTCCAGTTTGGAGATCTTATAGACATTGCTGTTATGAACATTTGAGTGTATGTTTTCCTGTGAGGCACAAACCTGAGAGGAAAGGGCTAAGCATCCAGCCTCCTGGTACACTGCTCTTACCCTTAGTTACTTTGCCTCCCCCTCAGATCTTTCCTGTGCATGCCATTTTCTCTTTTTGGAGCACCAATCCTCTTCATCCTCACCTGGCAAGTGCTCACCTGTCACCGAGATTTGAAATGAGATGCAGTTTCCTCAGGGAACCCTTTCTTGACTTCTTATTCCACACACCCACCCATTGCTGGACTCCTGCTTTGCTGCACTCAGCACAACTTCAACTGAGTAGTCACTGTGTCATTCTCTCTTGACGCTGCTTCTCTGTGTAGAATCTGTAATGGGGACATCTGAATGTTTCTGCACTGAGTCCCCAGGACCTAGCATAGTGGTTTGCACAATAGCGGATACTAAATAAATATTCATTGGATAAGTGGGCAGTACTCAAGGCCAGTGCCCATCTAACAAACCCAGACTCCAGCTGATGGGGCATTTGTAGTTAGTTGCTCAAAGGAAACTTCCAATGGTCTTACTGATGCCAAGACCCGTGTTGATTAGTTTCTCAAATCCCCTGACCTGTGACAGAGTTGAGTATGCATGCAGGAGCCAAATAACCTTTACGTGAGTGGTGAGAAGAGAGGATTTACAAGTAGTCTTCGAAGTAAAGTTTGCTTCTAAATGAAATAAGCTGGGTTTTCTTTAAGGCAGTGGTCTCCTGCAGCCTTTCTCATACTCCTCCCTTTTCTCTTAGGACACTTTCTTCATTTCACCCTTCTCTGGGCTGTAACAGCTGGGGCATCCACCAAATCTGCACAAACTGGCACGTCCCTTGCCCCAAGATCATGGCCAGCTTCCATTCCTTCTTGACATTAGGACACTAATCTGTAAAAGGATGACTGTGTTTAATAGCTCTTTTATGTATACAGGAACCAAAATGCAATTTTGGAATGCCTTTTCAGAATTACAACCCCAACTTCATTTTTAATAGATTGGTCAGTGATTGGTATAAACAATAGTAAAAACACACTATATAAATGTTAACTGAAATGTTTATTTGTTGGCATGTTACCTCTCCTTAGACAATCATAGCACTCGCTCCTTCATCACAAGACTTTCCAAAAGTGCATGGAAGCAGATGGTGCTGGGAGGCACTGGAAGAGGAAGAGGTGGGGCATGGTAATTATAAATCGAGACACTGTTAATGCTAATTTCCCAAAGCCCGAAGAGCATGGGCAGAGATAGGAGCAGGTGTCAGAGAGTTTAACAAACAGGAATGTGTGAGCCCCCTCTTCATTTCCTTCCAAACAGTGATCTTCTTTTTTAAAAAATATATATTGTATTTTAAAGATATGGGGTACAATTCAGGATTAGGTATATAAGTGGACATCATACAGATAAAGTTTGGGCCTCCTTTGGTCCCCACTTTGCCTGGTTTGAGATCAACCAACCAGCAATTTTCATACCATGAAGGTGCCATGCTGCTGTTGACATTAGCTATAAATAAAGAATCGGGTTCTATTTTGTAAACTTTGAACCAAAAATTTATTTCTAAGTCATTTCACAGTGACATGTTCTGAATCACATGTATCGTTTTAAAATCTTCATCCAGGACTTTTTTATTTCCATGTGTCCCTCAAAGACATTAGCAAAGAAAAAAACATACTCATTTTAAATTTAGGAAATTCAATAAATGTCTGAAAAAACAAAAAATTTAATATGTCAATGAAGAGAAAAACATTGGCTGAAATGGGGAAATTTTTATTGATATACAGATTTAAATATCAGCACAGAATTCGGGGGGAGATTTCCTTTTTTAATTTTTATTTTAAAGACGTGGGGTACAATTCAGGGTTAGATAAACAAATGGTCATTGTACAGGTAAAGTTTGGGCCTCACTTTGGTCCCCACTTCACCTGGTTTGAGATCAGATACTCTTATTGATGAAGCAAATCAGCACAGAATTTGACACAGGGTAGGCACTCAATGACAATTTTCTTCTCTTTGCCTTTTATTAATTAATACATAATGTATTCACTTATTTATTCATTTCTTGGTTTGTTCTTCTGTTGAGTATTCATTGGGTTCTTACTCTATGCCTCTCAGTCTCAGAATCAAGTACCAGAGATAAAAAGAGAAATTTGAAGCTGGGCTCGGTAGCTCAACCTGTAATCCCATGCTTTGGGAAGCTGAGGTGAGTGGATTGCCTGAGCCCACGGGTTCGAGACCCGCCTCGGCAACTTGGCAAGAACACATCTCTACAATAAATCAAAAAAATTAGCCGGGCATGGTAGCACGTGCCTGTAGTTCCAGCTACTTGGAAGGCTGAGGCGGAAGGATCACCAGAGCCCAGCCGGTCGAAGCTGTGGTGGCCGGGAGTGGCCACTGCACTCCAGTCTGGGTGACAGAGTGAGACTCCAACTCAAAAAAAAAAAAAAAAAAAAGAGGAATTTGAGTTTTCATCCTTAGATTGCTCACAATTTTTTCCCTTTAATAATTGTTGTTTTACTTTACCTAATTTAGCTCTTTGAGGCAGTCACAGTTAAACTTTTCTAAACCAATAGCAGGTCCTTCGCAGCTTTTGGGTTGAGCCTGGTCAGTAAACACATCATGAATCTTCTTCTGTAGCATATGCTTGTCTTGGGGTATAGGGGTAGCTCACACCTCAAAATCAAAAGAACACACATGAAATTGAACTTGGGATGGCAAGTGTAAACAGGTAAGAAGTCACCATGGAATGGATGCAGCAGCCATGGAAAGGTGAGGAGTCCTTCATTCATTCCACAGATATCTATCTGTTGGTCCTACTAGGTGCCAATTAATTGTATATCCTGGGGCATTAGCAGTGAGCAAAACAGGTAAAATTGCCTGCTCTTGTGGGTTTAATATCTATAATAATCCCAGAGCACATTCTATTTACCTGGATATTTACTTGTAATTTCACCTGTGTGCCCTGACAACCCATCTGGTGGTCAACTGAAAGCTGAAGGTAGTAGAGTTAGAATTAGAATGCAAAACAATAAGCAGTCCACTTCATTCTGGTCTCCCAAATCATAAGGTTGATTTGACAACTGTCCTAGGAAGCTAGGACGGTCCCAGTCTATCCTCCCTCTACCACCTCCTATCTTTGAAATTTTTGTTAGGAGGTTAAATACCTGCTTGATGCCAGGGCAAGAACATATGGATAACTATTTGAGGCATTCTTTGACTTTAAGAGATATCATTTGTGAATAGGTCACAGCATTCTCTAAAGACCTTTCCTGGAAGGAGCTGCAGGGATGTCCTGCACCCTAATTGTTGGACAAATGTCTTTCTCATAGACATACATATGAGATATTAAATGTCCCTAATTTACCCCCTATAGCTTGCTCTCAAATATGTCACAAATGTGCCACAACTTTAAATGCTCCACATCTGTGTACTGCTCCCAATCTGGAACACCCATCTACCCCATTGTTTTAACTTTCATGCCTATCTAAATCCAGTTGTTCTTCAGAGCCAGGCAAGGATACCCTTCCACAAAACCTTCCACAGCCACTTCTTCATGTGACACACCAACATCCCTTGCTTGGAACCCCTCCCCGATTTTATGCTGTTTTGAAATACACCAAAGTTGGTTTCCTGTTTGCTTCCCCCACTTGATTGAGAGCCCCAGAGAACAAGGATGTGTCTCATTTGTCTTTCTTTTCCTGGGTTCTAGCCTTGGATCTGGCACAGATTGATTGCTAAACACATATTTTATTGAGATATTTATTTGTTATTTTTTTAAATGAATATATGTTTATTTATTAAAACATATTAGAATAAAACATTATCAAAATTATTTTTAAGTCTTTTATATGGGGTGAGCATAAATTTTCTTTTCTTTTTTTTTTTGAGTTGGAGTCTCACTCTGTCGCCCAGACTGGAGTGCAGTGACCGCTCCTGGCCACTGCAGCCTCGACCTGCTGGACTCCGGTGATCCTTCTGCCTCAGCCTTCCAAGTAGCTGGAACTACAGGCACATGCTACCATGCCCAACTAATTTTTGATTTATTGTAGAGATGAGGTCTCGTTAAGTTGCCCAGTCGAGTCTTGAATCCACGGGCTCAGGCAATCCACTCACCTCAGCCTCCCACGGCACAGGATTACAGACTGAGCCACTGAGCCCGGCTAAATTTTCATTTTAATATTTTTTTTAATAATTATCCAAAGAACTTATCTCAAAAATATACCATACAAATTCCGTATTGGTTCAAAGTCACTAGGCACTTAACACTTATTGACTTAATGCTATAACAGCAAAGATAATTCAGAAATATAAGACAAGTTCCTAATCTTAAGGAACTTGCTTTTATTTTTTAATTGACAAATAATTTTATGTGATTCTTAGGTATACAGTGAATTTTCAAGACATATATGTCTTATATCAGATTTTGGTATCTGCATAACTATTATCTCAAACATTTATCATTTCTTGTGTTGCAAGCATTTAATATCTTCCTTCTAGTTATTTGAAGCTATATAACATTATTGTTCGCAATAGTCATCCTACAGTGCTATAGAACAACTCACTCCTCTTATCTAGTTGTAATTTTGTATTCTTTAACCAATCTCTTCCTACCCCTCACTTCTTTCTACCCTTCTCAACCTCTACTATCCTTTGTTCTACTTGAACCTAGGAGTTTGAGACCAGCTTGCACAGCATAGTGAGACCCCATGTAAAAAAAAGAAAAGAAGAAAGAAAGAAAAACAAATATATATTTTATTGAATGATTACATGAATTAATGAAGGGAAAATGTTTAAAAATGAATGAGCAGTTTAATAAGTAAATAAGTGGTTGAAGGAGTGAATGACAAGTGAGCAAATACCCTTTGAAGTCAAGAACAGATCTTGTGACTGGGACCTACTTATGTCAATCCCAAAGCATGGGGAAGAAGATGATTTAGTGATTTTGCCATGCAAAATTTCTAAATTTCTTCTTTTTTGTTCTTTGTTTTTTTCTAGTATACTTAAGTGCTTGGCCCTATCTGACTGGAATTGTGGCGGTAGAGGAAGTGCAAGATTCTTACCTTCAGCTGTAAGTCAAGACAGGTTGCCCAAAATGTGGCCAATATCCTCTGTAGGACCAAGCTAGGGATCCATTAAATTTTTAAGGTACAAACATAGTAAGATATTCTGGACCTGAAAGCAAGTAGAAACACATTTACTGAGTCCAAAGACTAAGCTATTACAGACCCACAATCTCTTATGCATAATTTCAAAACACAAAACACTCTAAAAATCAAGATTTACCATAACCCACTTGGAGACATGAGTGTAGTCTTTGCTGACTCAATTTAGTGGAGTTTTATGTTTTGCTGCAGAAATGTTTCCACGTTTGATTGAGTGTTGCCCAGAATCTGCGAAGTGTTATTTAATGTAAAATATGTGGACCAGATTACTTTTCTCAAATCCAAAGATGGTTTCTGAAACACATCAAGTCACAAGGATTTTAGACAAGGGACTATGAGCTTGTCCTATATCCAGGAATCAAGTTATAAGAACCCAGTAGAAGTCCAAAATTAGGAGATTTCAAGCAGGACCATCTCAAGAAAATGAAATCAAGAGTGAGAGCACAGACATAGAAACGCCCTAACTGAAGAGCACCCACTTCCTATCTCAGAACCTATCCCAAGAAACATAGGTCTATGTGAGGATTTCTCCAGGCCACTAACAAAAAGAGGCTGGCCTCACACCCTGGCTTCTAGGGTGCTTATGTTTTTTCTTTTTTAGGTTTTTTTAAATATATATCAATTTTTTATTATGATATTGTGGGGTACAGTTAAGGGTTAGGTATACAAAAATGCTTCATTCAGGCACCCTTGTTGATAAGAGGTGTCTCTTCATCCCCAGACAGATGTTTACTACCATTAATCCCATCTCCCTTCCACTCCCCCCCCAATAGTTTCCCACCACTATCAGTCATTTTCTTATGGTAATATGTTGGATGATCAAGGTCCACTATATGAGTGAGAACATGTGATATTCAGATCTTTGTTTCTGTGAGAGGTCACTCAGAATTATAGACTCTAGTTCCATCCAGGTTGCTGCAAAATTCATGATTTTGTTCTTTTTTATGGCTGCATAGTATTCCATCGTGTATATGTACCACATTTTTTTAATCCAGTCCTCTTTTGATGGACAGCATGGCTGGTTCCAGGTTCTTGCTATTGCGAACAATGCTGCGATAAACATTCGTGTGCAGGTATCTTCTTGATAGAGTGATTTGAGTTCTTCAGGGTATATTCCCAGTAGGGGGGATTGCAGGGTCATATGGGAGGTCGATATTTAGAGCTTTTAGGAATCACCACACTGCTTTCCACAGAGGTTGCACTAGTTTACACTCCCACCAACTGTGTAGAAGTGTTCCCTTTTTGCCACACCCTCACCAGCAACTGTTATTTTTTGAGTTATTGATGATTGCCATTCTGACTGGGGTTAGGTGGTATTTCAGTGTGGTTTTGATTTGTATCTCCCTGATGATTAGTGAGGTTGAACATTTCTTCATGTGTCTGTTGGCTGCTCAGACATCTTCCTTTATGAAGTGTCTGTTCATATCTTTTGCCCATTTTATAATGGGGTAGGCTTCATCCCTGGGATGCAAGGCTGGTTCAACATTCGTAAAACCATAAATGTAATTAAATACATCAACAGATGTCAAAACAAAAACCACATGATTATATGGTATATAAAGCTTTTGATAAAAACCAGCATCCTTTCTTAATAAAAACATCTAGGCATACGGGGAACATACCTCAAAATAGTAAAAGCCATCTATGAGAAACCCACTGCCAGCATACTCCTAAATGGACAAAATTTGGAACCATTTCCCCTGAAAACTGGAACCAGACAAGGATGCCCACTCTCACCCCTCCTGTTCAATATAGTATTGGAAGTCCTGGCTAGAGGAATCAGAGAAGAGAAGGCCATCAGGGGTATCCAAATAGGAAAAGAGGAAGTCAAGTTATCTCTCTTTGCAGATGACATGATTGTGTACCTTGAAAACCCAAGAGAATCTGTCAAAAACCTCTGATAAAGACCTTTGGTAAAGTCTCAGGATATAAAATAAATGTGCAAAAGACAATCGCATTTCCTCACACCAATAATAAACAAACAGAAACCCAAATAAAAAGTACAATTCCATTCACAATAGCCACAGAAAAATGAAATACCTTGGCATCTTCCTAACCAGAGATGTGAAAAACCTTTACAATGAAAACTACAAACTCTGCTCAAAGAAATCAAAGATGACACAAACAAGTGGAAAAATATCCCATGCTCATGGGTTGGAAGAATCAACATTGTGAAGATGACCGCCTTACCCAAGGCAATCTACAGATTCAATGCAATACCCATCAAATTACCAGCAACACTCTTCTCAGACCTAGAAAAAACAACACAGGAATTCATATGGAAACACAAACAACCAAGAATAGCCAGATCAATCCTCAGCAAAAAAAAAAAAACAAAGCAGGTGGTATCACATTACCAGACTTCAAACTTTACTATAAAGCTACAATCATCAAAACAGCTTGGTACTGGTATAGGAACAGGCATATAGATCAATGGAATAGAATTGAGATTCCAGAAGTGAAACCTCAATTTCTTAACCAACTCATCTTCGACAAAGCCTCCACCACCTACCACTGGAGAGAGGAGAGCCTATTCAGTAAATGGTGCTGGGAAAACTGGCTGACCACATGCAGAAGATTGAAACAGGACCCTTATCTATCCCCATACACAAAAATTAACTCCAAATGGATCAGAGACCTAAATGCAAAACCTCAAACCATAAGAACCTTAGAAAATGAAGGGCATACCCTCATGGAAATTGGAACTGGCATCCAAATTCTGAACAAAACCCGAAACTCACAGGCCATAAGAGATAAGATAGACAAGTGGGACCTCATTAAACTGACAAGCTTCTGCAAAGCCAAAGAAACCAACAAGAGAGCAAGGAGACAGCCTACAGATTGGGAAAAAGTATTTGCCAACTCCAGATCCGATAAAGGCTTAACCTCTTGGATCTATAAGGAACTCAAATGTCTGGGGTGCTTATAAGACGAAACACTCTTTCACAATTTTTGGCCTGCTTACCTTCAAATGTTAGTTTAGTATTAATCATATTGATGGAAGTTGTGCCCTGGAAATGCTTTGAGTATGGACTGTATCTTAAGTGACTCCGTCCAGTGCCTAGTTCAGGGCCTGACACAGAAGAAGTACTTAGTAAATGGGCTCAATAAATTGTTAATGAACATGTACAATGCATTACTGTTCATAATGTGCATTCATATGCATTATCTCATTTGAAATGACCCAGTGAGTCAGGCCAGTGAAATAAGTACCAAGGAGGTGAAGGTATTTGCTCAAGATCATAAACATTTCTGCTGGGACTTGTACCAGAGTTGAGATGCCTGTTTAAAAATTCTACTTCCTTTATTTGGCATCACTGTGCCTCCCTCCTGTGTAGACTGAACACTCAGAACCAAAGATTGGTAAAAATCCCTGGTCACAGGAAAGACCTGGACATAAGAAAAGCCACTGGTGAGTTCAAGGACTCTCAGGAAGGCTATCTGGAGGGAATGCCCTCACCTCTATGTATCCTCTTGTGAGGCTAATCCAGTGAGAAGTCCAGGCCAGCAGGAGAAGGAGGGTGCCGTAAATGCACAGATGGGACCATAGCCCATTCCAGAGCTCCCCAATTATATTGTTGCTGTGTCCCTCATCTGCCCACATCTGGAGTTGACCTTGGGTCCCATGAAGGAACGCAGCCTTTTGAAGGTTAATGGAGAAGGCAGGGATGACTCGATGGTGAGATAAGAGTGGGGCCAGTACCCAGCTCAGGTCATTAGAATCTGAGCTCATTGTAAGCACCCCACAAACCTCTGCTGCAGATAAATCGGGCCATGTGAAGACCCAACCTCCCCCTGTAAGAACAAGTCTGCAAGGGAGGTGCTAGCTCCGCATAAAGTCATCCCCACTCTCCGCTGAGGGAAAGATGACTCAGCCTGAGTCCCCATCTCTCCTCCTCGGCCTCCACTGTTGGGAGCCAACATCTATAGCTACATGACTGAGGCCTGTAAAGGCCCATCTGGAAGATCGCCTCTGACATAGGATATCAGTTATACCTATAATATTGGC